AGAATTCACAAGTTCACTTCTGGGTACTAATGAGCTTGACTGAGGATCTGCCCCAGTCCCTGCTTCGAGGGTCCTGTAAGGCGCGTTCACGTATTATATTGCCTTTCTAAAAGCTCAAACAGCACGAATTTGAAACATTTCTGGTACAAAGTTTGCCTGCCTCAGTGAAAGAGAAAAATTGATGTGTGTAAGAAGGGTAGGGGTGCATGTTCAGCAAGTTTCCTTAGAATAGAGTCACGGTACACAGAGAAATTCTTATTGTTTGCACGGCACAGGACTCCTTAGAAAAAGCATACTAACAATCAAGATTATTTTTGGGGAGAGTTTTTCGAGACAGGGTTTCTCTGTATTGCTTTGGAACCTGTTCCGGAACTAGCTCTGTAGACCAGGTTGGCCTTAAACTCACTGAAGTCTGCCTGCCTCTGCATTCTGAGTGCTATGGTTAAAGGCGTGCTCTACCAACACCTGGCCAAGATGATTTTTAAAAAGATAAATTCTATTTTTAAATCAACTTTGTATCATATTGTCTAGGTTATCTTTTTTCTTGGAATACACTTTTTCATTGTATCCTCAAAAAAAAAAAGAAACTCAAAATCTACTCCTTTTTTTCATCTCATTTGACATTTTTTATAAAGCTGAGTTTGCAAAATAATTATAGCGAAGTGATATGGTTAATTAGATGATTCTAGTTCACACTGATTTTCATGATATAGAGTTTACTTTCTACAATTAGGTCGTAGCCTGCTTCATGCTGTGTCCTTAGCTGGTAGATGGAGTTGTGGGAGCTGAAAGAAAGGCAAGGACGTCGTCTTCTCTTGATTTTGCTTTGGGAATAACGGGCAACAGAACCCTTTCAGAGTTCTTTATGGAGTAATAGATGCCATTTGTACTCAGGGAGGACAGGATTTTATCCTGCAATGAGCTGGAGAAGCCATCACTCCAACCAGTGAGGGCTAACTGAAGTTTGTCATTTCCACAGGGAAAGCTACAAATACAGGACAATCCTCATAACTCTGACTGCAGATTTCAGTCTCCCGGGAAGCTTTTAATAAACACAAGTGTCCATAGACCACCCCAGGTCAACTGCTTCACTCTTACAGGGAGTTTGACGTAATCCCTTGGGACTAGTGTAACAAAATACTGTAGACAGTGTGGTTTATACGTTTATGCTTACAATTCTTGAGGCTCTGAAGTCCAAGACCAAGTTGCTAGTAGATCAGGTAACTGGTAAAGGTCTGCTCTCTGCTCCAAAGTTGTTGCCCTCTAGTTGTGTTCTTACAAGGTGGGAAGGTAGTCATATAATTGCAATAATCACATTCATGAGGGAGGACAGAGCCTTATGATCTCATCACCTTCCAAAGAACCCCAACTCTTCACACCATTGCACTGGAACTAGGAGTCTATGTATGAATTTTGGAGTGAGTCAAATTTCAGGGCAACCCAATGTCTTGATATACAAATAGGCATGGTGGTTCCTTGCTGTCAGTTAGTGACTCTCAAATGTGGTTTCTGAAATGGTTTGGTAAGCACCTGGGAACTTGGAGGTTCTTTAGTTTTCTGGGAATAAGATGGTCTATGAAATAGAGATGATGATCTTGGAAGAATTGCCGTCTCAGAATTTTCCTGAAATTTAATCTGGCATATGCTATTCTTATTTAAAACTAACACACACACACACACACACACACACACACACACACAGAGAGAGAGAGAGAGAGAGAGAGAGAGAGAGAGAGAGAGAGAGAGAGAGAGAGAGAGAGAGAGAGAAGGAGAGAAGAGAACTGGGAGGAAGTTTTCATTTTGATGCAGTATCTCCAGTCTTCATTTAAAAACACTTTTTGGCAGCATACACTTTGATTTACTGACAGTTCAACAGAGACATGCCAATAACCTAAGTTGGAACCAGGGTGATCCACTGGATTACAGAAAGAAAAACATTAGAACTGCTATTTATATGCTTCCTTACTTCATCCTATTACAATTTCCGCTCTCAGATACGGTGCCTGTGGGATTTAAAGCATGCTTGAAAACATATCAACATTAAGTATATGCATACTGCATACATTGATATGAGAAGATTCACTAATATAGGTGCATAATTAAAAATTTCAGGCTTATTGTACCAAACCATAAGCTTATAGAGCAAGGAGATTACATTTTCATCTCTTTTTCTTCCCATAATTCTTTGCCTGCACATAGTAGACATCAGTTGGTGTGGAAATGAGTATTTTGGCTTACTGCTATATTTTGAGAAAATGCAACTAAAATTTCAGCCATCAGAGGAACTTAAAAGTGCCAAGGCTTTAATATCAACATTCATCCTGCTCCAGGGTGTGGATGGCTCCACACCTATCTCCAAATATGAGTCCCTTTCTGCTTTTAGCCTAAAAGCAGCAGCCATACTTGACATTGGCTGTTTTCAATGTCATGGAGAATAATCACACTCTTTTCATTTCAGATTTTATTGCCATCACACCCTTTGTGGTCTCACTTTCCAAGCCAGCGTTTCCCCCAAGCATCTCTCCAAGCCATTCTTCCCACACTGTTGCTCATCTGTGGAGAAACAGCAAGTGCTGGGAGCGAATTTCCTCCTTCAAAAGTAGTGGGAATGGGGCAAAGCTTCCCACCAAAATAACAGTGCAAGTGCTGGAAAGTCAAGTAATGCAATTAAAAAAAAACTATATCAAACTCCTTAACTAGCTCTACCTAAGCACAAAGAGCAATTCTCCATGCCTACATATTAGACAACATGTGTCTAGAAGTAGAAACAAAATCAAACACGTCTTATAAGTTAACTATGATAAGGTAAATGATTTATTTAAAAATAGGTCACAGAATACTCAGGGGTAACAAGGACACCAAGATACCTACATTGTGGTTTCTCCTAACATTGTTCCATAGAAGGAACTGGGATTCCCCATAGAAACAGTTTGTTTAAGAGGTGGAATGAAGAATATTCAGTTTGAGCCAAGCTTGTCCAGTGGTTCTAGAAGTTAAAGAAATGCTGAACACACACACACACACACACACACACACACACGTTTAGGATGTGTCAAATGAACACGGATGCTAACTAGAAAGAACTCACAAGTGTGAGAGATAGAATAAGGAACAAAATACACAGTGAACTATTGCTTTATAACCCAAACTACATAAAACAATCAGCATTTACTGTTCAAAGTGATATCAAGAAATTATTAAATACATCAATGGGATAGATAGACAAATCCACCACGCAAAAGTCTTTGAACCAATTTATTCGACTAGACTGTCTTGAGACTCCTCATCCTTTAACGGTGCCTGTGACAGTGACTTCCTTCCAAGAGTATGGGATAGAAAGTGAGAAAAGAAGAGTGATTTCTGAGTACAGAGACCTGATCAATGTATCCACGAAATCAAGGTCAACAGTCTCAGCAATAAGTCATGCTGACAGCATGTGCCCTTGATATGATCGATGGGAACTGCCTTTACTATTAAGCTCTTCCTCCACAGAGCCCCCAATCCTAGACTAGTCACATGACAGACATCAGCTGACCTCCAGTGAACTATTCTATAAAATGCCTGAATACTGTTCTTCAAATCCAAAGTAATCAAAAGCAGGGAGATTGTGAGAAACTCAACGCTGCCTTAGGGGACTCTCAGGAAATGCAGCAACTGTGTTTATTGATAGCGTAGATGGGGCCCTGGAGGCTGTGGAGTAGGGAGTGACATTATGTAAAAAGAAAGGAAATCAGAGTGCAGCACAAGCTTTACTTAATAAACACATCAATATCAGCTTATTAGCTGTGGTAAATGGGAAACTTGGTATATAGTATATAGAACTTTTCGCAGTCTTTACTGCTTTATTAATCAAAAATGTATCTAGAAGACCTAAAAGCATATGAAAGGATGTTTGACATCATTAATCCTCAGGAAAATGTAAGATAAAACTATCAGAGGATACTCTACACTCCTGAGAAACATTCACATTATAGTCCGATGGCAAGGACTTAGAGATGGGATTTTTATACCCTTCCTGTGAAGATGAAAACCAGTAGAATTTCACTATGAAAAAATAGTTCAGTCATTTCATGAAATCCTATGTATACTATCATAGGACCCAGTTATTATATTCCTATATATCTACTCAAGAGACAGTAGAATATACTTTCACATAAAGAGGTGTACATGAATGTTAATGGAAGATGTCTTTTTAGTAACCAGCCTTCCTAAAGATAAAATGATAACCCAAGTGTCCATCAATACATACACAGAGAAGCAACTGTGGAATGGGGGCATGCTCATACAATAGAATGCTGCTTACCAATGAGAGCAAACAAACAGCGACAACATGGATGAATCTCAGGACAGAGGACAGTGCATTCCATCACAGCACTTAAATGGAATGTTAGCAAATATGCACTCTATTATACATGACAGAAAACCGAGCCCCAGTGCCCACTCAAGGGACCAGCTATTACCTTCAGAGGGGCCAGAGGGGAGATTTTTTTAATGATTTTTTTTAATTCTTTTTTTAAAATTTAGATAAGAAACAAGGTTGCTTCACAAGTCAGTTCCAGGTCCCTCTCCTTTTCCCTCCCCTCCTCCCGTGCCCTCCCCCATACCCCCCCGTTATCCCGTCATTCCCCCAGGGAGGGTGAGGCCCTCCATGGGGGTGTCCATAGTCTGTCATTTCATATAGGGCAGGGCCTAGACCCTTCCCCAAGAGTTCAGGGTGAGAGTGCACCTCACATTGTTCTATGGGAGTCCAAAGTCCGTGTGTATACTTGGTATGGGTACTGATCTGCTGCCCAAGGCTCAATAGATTACCTAGGCCTCCTCACTGACACCCAGATTCAGGGGGTCTTGATCAGTCCCATGCTGGATTCCCAGGCTGATGCCTGGGATTCAAGAGTTAACCTTTGTCTGGTCAGCTGTTTCTGGGGGTTAAACCAGCCCAGTCTTAATCCCTTTGATCATCAGTCCTCCCTCTCTGATACTGGCTTTCTTGAGTTCAGCTCAGTACTTAACCAGCCACTAAATGTAGTTTCTGTTTCCCAGACTCTCTGGCCATAGGATTGTAGGCTGGCACTCCCAGAGGGGAGATTTTTTACCAATGAAGTGTTCTCTACGTGGAGTATGATGATTATGTCACTAAATAAATTTTTTCTTGTTGTTTTGTTTTTCAAGATAGGGTTTTTCTGAGACAGGCTGACCTCGAACTCACAGAGATCTGCCTGTCTCTGCTTCCCAAGTGCTGGGAGTAAAGGCATGCACCACCACTGCCTGGCACTAAACGAATTTATTAATATTATCAAATGACACATTTATAAAGGTACATTTTATATTATGTAAATATGTTTTAACGAAACTGACGGGGAAGTCCTTCTGTGTATATATTTGTCTTATTGGTTGATTAATAAAGTAGTGCTGGCCAATAGGGAAGCATGATAGGTGAGACTAGGAGTCGAGGAGGATTCTGGGAAACAGACGCACAGTCAGTCATCAATTAGGATGTGAGAGAAGAGGTCAATATCCTTTCTCCAGTAAGAGAAGACCACGTGGAAATACTCAGATCAGCAGTTATGGGTTAATAATTAAGTCAGAGTTAGCCGATATAGTGTCTTGAGTGTTATTTGGGGACTGAGACAGCAGTGGGACCCGGGCAACTGGCAGGAAAGAGTACACATTACATGAAACTAATTCTTCTAAAAGGAAGGAGTCCTTAAGGGCTCTGAAGATGGCTGTCTGAGATGACTCAGGAGCTTGACCAACCTGTCCCCCTTCTGCCACACCCTCCCATGCCATCCTGCTGTATCCTATTCCATCTCCTCCTTTGCCTTCTGGCTGTTTAATATGTTCATCGTGTTTTGTAGAAGCCTGATCCTCAGGTTATTTCAGAAGGCAAAAGGTTTGGTCTAATGATTTATGCCGGTGTGGTATAAAGTGATCCTACAGCATGCTTGTGAAGGAGGAGGGTGGACATCCTTCCCTGGTTTTCTATGGCTCACAGGGCACAGGAGAGGCTTTCTGGGAATACAGCGTCCAAGGAGGGGACCATCAGGATGCACAGCTGCCTCTCGATGGGAAAGAAGTGCTCAGCAGGGGCTGTCTTGTGGAGCTAAATACAGGCTCTGGAAATCACACAAAGCCACACGGAGACCAGCAACAGAAGCCATAGGAATAAAATGACATGGAAGAAGATAGCGCCAGCTCCCCACAACTCATTTCCTCTGAGAAGGACGATTCGCCACTCTTCCTTGCAATGAACAAAGGTGCATAGACAGTGTTGGTTGGGGAAAGCATGGGACTACGAACTGTGACCAATGTAATAACATCGTATTTTGACAGAACATTCACAGAGTGATGAAAAGTTTAAAAACCGACATTGAATTACCAAAAGAATCACTGAACCAGACCATGGCTTAGAAAGATGGTTAAGATGCATGCCCTGAGTAGATTAGGTTTAGAGAAGTTTTGAGAATGTATTAAGTTTCATTTAAAAATTTTGCATTAATGGGGCTTGGAGAGACAGTTCAGCAGTTAAGAGCACTAGATGCTCTTCCCATAGGACCTGAGCTCTGTTCCCTGCACCCAAAGCAGGTATCTTACAGGTGCCAGAGGCTCCAGCTCTAAGGGATCTGATGTTTACTTCTGGGCTCTGTGGGCACCCCCACATGTGTGGCATATACTACACACACAAACATACCACACACATTAAAAATTGCATTGATATATCACAAACCAACTGCTTTATGCATTTACAGTATTTTGTAGTGTATTTTTACTGGTTGGTGTACTGTGTACATTTGTCTGTCAAGATATATTTTTCTATAACACAATATTTAATGTCTATACAATATTCCACCACAGAAAGATATATGTTCTACCTAACTAGTCGTTTATTGTTGAACATTAAGTCTCTTTTCCCCCATATTATAAATAAATTTGATTAAGAATCTTATGCACCTCTTTTCACACCATCCTGAGTGTTCCCATAAGATAAATTCACAGTTGGGAAATCACTGGGGTAGAGGGCATTTGTGTTTTAGGCTTTTTAACACCATTTACTAGGTGTGTGCCAATTTACACATCAGCTAGAAACCAGCAGTCTTTAAAGGATAATTTCCTATTTACTTATACATCTACTCTGACTCCATCACGAGTGAAAAAATGATCATTACAATTAGGATAAATTTAGAGCTATTCAAGTGGGCATTGCTAACAATATTGAAGCTTAATCTTAGTTGAATCGCAGAAATGACCATGCCCACAGAATGATGGAATTAAGAGTGAATTCAGCCTGTGTAGAGAGACCACATAGCAGGTAGCATTCACAGTGCTCTGCAGATAGTCATAATCCCTTGAAGTATTACCTTCCCCCCATTTTAAAGCAGAGGAAACTGAGTCACACAGTGCTAACCGCCTTGATAAATATAGTCATATCAATGTCCTTATTAATGGTATCATCACAACCTTGGTTATTTTAGAATTTCTTTCTTCGAATACGTATGTGTGTGAGGGTTCTTGCGTATGCAGGTGTAGGTGCATGTGGGTGCCTGTAAAAGCAAGGCTGACGTTGGGAATCAGCCTTTATTGCTCTTCTACTTGATTCATTGAGGCAAGGGGACTCAGTCAAACCCAGAGCTCACCAATCCGGCTGGTGAGAATGTGGCTAGTCTTGCCAGCCAGCTTGCTCCAGAGATACCTTATGTTTGCCTTACAAGGCTGGACTTACACGTTGGATGCTGCGCCCACTGCCGTTTATGTGTGTCCTGGGGATCCAAACTGTAGTCTTCTTGTTTGTACAGCAAGTGATGGAACTGCTAAATATTCTTCCCAGCCTGCTTTTATTATCTCCACATATCATATTCCACTTAATTTGCCTTAAGACTTGAGTTAGTTTGCTCTTGCACACATCAGTAGCCAACTCACAGAGGAACCCGTGCTTGGAATATGAAACAGTCCACTTGACCAGTGGGGAGGCCCATGTGGTGGACTCTGTTAATCACTCACTTCATCCTGAAAATGAGAACAAAGAACAGTTGTAAATCCCACATGCAACGATATGACACACTGTTCAAACTAGCTGTGGGGTTTGTCAAAAACAATTTGTTGCCAGGTGTGGTGGTGCATATCTTTAATCCTAGCACGTGGGAGGCAGAGACGGGTGGATCTCTGTAAGTCTGAGGCCAGCCTGGTCTACAAAGTGAGTTTGAGGCCAGCCAGGATTATATAGTGAGACCCTATCTCTGACAAAAAAAATTGTCGTAGATGATAATGTTCTGAAGTTTATGAATGGCAATTTTTATGTCACTTGGAGTGGCTGTAGGGTTGTCTTTGTGCTAAGGTCACATCTCTCCCACTTGTTCCAGCCTGCCTTCAGAGTAGGACAGAGGATTTGTAAGGGCTAGGGATGTCCAATATTTTGACAGTACAATATAGCATTGTCATGCACAGAGCTTGTGTTCAAGAACTCCATGTCCAAGTCCTCATAATGTTTTAAGTGAGCTTACAACTTTATGTTGGGCTGCATTAGAACAAAGCTTGCAGCAACCTGCAGCCCCTCTCGCTCCCCAGCAGGAGAGTGGGAGGCTGGTACATGTGCAAGCGTCTACAAGGAAAAACACAACTCCTAAATGAAGGAAGAAACTGGAAGGAAACCATATTAATCTGAACAGTCAAAAAAGGCCTGTTTGCCTCAACACAGATGTTTTCTTCATCTTCTTTCCCTAATTAGTGCCAGGGAGCTAAATTCAGACTCTACCCATAACAACAGCAATAAAAGATGAGCTGTGTGCCCATCCAGAGATGGAAAGCACCCTGGTGTTGCTCCAGCTTGTTGAAGGCTACTGAGATAGCCAGGAGAAGAATGGGCTACCCTAAAACCTCCATCATTAAAGAAATGTTTTCCCATTGATGAACAGCTTGCTAAAGCCAGATAAGCAGGCTGAAAAGCATAAAAACACGAGCACTCTTAATAATTCATTTACTTCCAGTGTCTGGAAAGCAACTGCCATCCTTTCCCTCAGCAAGTCGGGGATAGTCTGCTAATGCTTGCAGTGACTGGGTTGTCTCTTTCCTTTGTTAATATTGACATTCCAGGATGTGAATGTTCTTACTTGTTGATGTCACTGCTAATTAAGTCAATTAATCTCAGAGGATGCTTCATTCATTAACTGTCATAGTGACAAACTGTACACTAGTCCCATCCCAGAAAGACCATCTTCAAATTAATACCCATGTTCAGGACCAGCACCAACCTCAGGAAGAAGTCAATAAAATGCCATTTTAGTATATATTTCTGTGTATAGATGAAATCCCTGTTATCCCCTAGATGTCCTGATGTCATAGTAGCTCCTCCTGAAGAAGCCTTCTGTGTCTAAGAGAGATGGTTTAATCCATAAGAGGAACCAGGACATAGAGACCAGATTCTTCCTTCTCTTTAATTACAACTCACTGTGTGACTCTGGGCAAGGGACTCCAGGCCTCTGAGTGTTAGTTTGGCAACAGAGGTAATGTGCTCTTTCCTAACTCTAATAATGTGATTCACTTTGAATGTAGGGCTGTTAGCTTCAGTGTTGTGAGTTCCATAAAAAGACAGAGAGTTACAGCTAGAAGAGCTTTGGTTTCCTCTGGAGCCCACAGTCTCCAGGTTCCCTACCAAAAGCACGTGTACCCATTGTTTTTCTGTTGGTATAATAAAACACAATGACCAAGGCAGCTTATAGAAGAGTGTATTTGAGCCAGGCGTTGGTGGTACACGCCTTTAATCCCAGCACTCGGGAGGCAGAGGCAGGCGGATCACTGTGAGTTCAAGACCAGCCTGGTCTACCGAGCGAGTTCCAGGACAGCCTCCAAAGCCATAGGGAAACCCTGTCTCGAAAAAAAAAAAAAAAAAAGAAGAGTGTATTTGGCTCCAGAGGGAAGACAGTCCATCACATAGGGAAGGCAACAGGAGTGTTGGGGAGAGTAGGAAGCTGGGAGCTCATGCCCTTTACACACAAAGTAGAGATAACCTTTGTGTTTAAGTGACCCAACGATTTAAATTCTCAAAGCTGTTCTCAGGGATTTACTTCCTTCAGCAACCTATGTCTCCTCAACCTTCTCAAATAGCTCCACCAATTGGGACCCAGAAGTTCAAATGCCAAGACTATGAGTGTGTGTGTAGGGGTATTTCTCATTCAAACTAACACAACAAGGAAATATACCACTATTGTTGTCTTCTTCCTTCCTTCCTCCCTTCCTTCCTTCCTCCTTCTTCCTTCCTTCCTTCCTTCCTTCCTTCCTTCCTCCTTCTTCCTTCCTTCCTTCCTTCCTTCCTTCCTTCCTTCCTTCCTTCCTTCCTTCCTTCCTTCCTTCCCTTTTGTTTTTTTTGAGACAGGGTTTCTCTGTGTCACTCTGGCTGTCCCAGAACTTGTTCTGTAGACCACACTGGTCTTAAATTCACAGAGATCTGCCTGCCTCTTGTTGTTTTCATATCCTATCCTATTCATCACAGTATAAATATTTATTTTTTTGGCTATGGATACACTTTTAGTAAATACAACAAAGGGTGTTGTGTTATGAAGCCAAAGCCATCCTGAAATTCACAATGAGAAGAGGCTGACTTTGAACTCCTGCCTCTGCACACAAAGTATTAGGATTTTAATTTTTTGCCATTATGTCTGGCTCTAAAAATGCTTTCAGTAAAGTTACATCAAACCATTCAACCCTTACTTTTGAATTCTTTGTGTCTGGGTGGTCAGAAACCCTCTCTCTTTGAATGAGAAGGTGGCTCAATTTGTTTCTTTTTTGGTGCTATCTAGATTAAAATACAGTAGCTTCCTCAATACAGTTCCTCAAGCCAGGAACAGAAAAGGCATATGAGCCTACCTGCCCATCAATCACACTGACACATCCCCAGACACTGAAGGCAGTCCACCCACTTTTCTCTATCCCCAGCATGCCACTTAATCCAGCCCCCATCACCTCTCATTGAACAGAGATCATTGTATTAACTCCCTGGAAGACTCTCCAGGCCCCACACCCCAAGTATTCTCCCAACTTCAGAAGAAGCAGCTTTCCAAAGCATGGCTTGCTTACTTTGTTCCATTGTCTACATTCTAAAAGATTTCTAACTGCATCGAAGGTGTTCATTTCACCCTGGCTTACCCTATGTGAGTTGTCCAGCCTCCTCTCTCATGCATTCACCATTCCTCCAACACTATTTTCCCCTTAAGGCAACTTCACATTGCTCCATGGTGGGCCAGCTCTACCCTGACCTGCTAGCTCCTATACATGCTATAGCTCCCTGTTTGAATGCCATTGCCTCAGACTAGCCCCTCTTAGCTCCTTCTTCCGACTTTGCATTTGCATCACAAATTATAATGGCAAGTGTTTTTTTTTCTCTTATTTTATAACCTCTTTCCCTCACAAGGGTCTCTGAGGAGATGGTACACGCTGACTTAGCACCATATCCCTCTTCCACCAAAATGGCCAGTTCACTGTAAACACATCTTCATTGACTGAATAGAGAAGTGGGGGAGTTCCTCTCTTTCAATCACATCATTTCTACACTACCAAGCTATTTTCATGGACAGTGCTGCATGTGGTAACGCCTGCCACATTCTTTTTCTTTGAAGAGTTCTCCCTGTAAAGGGCTGGGTCTGGTCTGGGTGAGTCTTGCTAGAAAGCTGCCATCTTTTCTTCACACACAAACTTTTCGTCTTAGGCATGCAGAGTTTCCAACGGTAGACTTCTGTCTTATGGTTTTCATTGCTGGGAAGAGACATAGTTTTAGATGTAGAGTCCATTATCTTCATAGCGGGGTGCATGATGATAGATGTGGTGGTAGCTACATCTAGGTTTGCCGGCAGCAGGACTGACTGTCACAATGAGGGAAGCTTGAGCAAAAGTGACACACTTCCTCCAACAAGGCCACACCTTCTAATAGTGCCACTCCTTTTGGGGGGGCATTTTCTTTCAAACCACCACAGCATGTCTCAAGAAATTTACACCACCATCAGGATCTCACTCTAGACTTCTCTTGTGACCTCCATGGAGAGAATTCAAAGGAGATACACAGTTTAGGGTAGAAGATAGACAGTTTATTCCAGAGAAAAGAATAACTTTCAAGAGGTAAGAGTGTGCAATGGCCATAGAGACAACTTCCTTAACTTTAGGTAGGCTTAGTTCCAAGCCCTTGGGACAGCTTTCCTAAGGGACATTCTTCTGCCCAGGTGATTGACAGGCTCACTTGGATCAACTCTTATAGGAGTGGACATTGGCATGCATGCCCTTGTTCTTGTTCATTTAGACACGGTCTTGTGTATCCTGTTTGGCTTCAAAATGGAACTCGTTATACAACTGAGGATGACCTTAAGCTTCTGGTCTCCTCTTAAGAACTGGATCATAGGTGCCACCACGTCTGGTTTTTGTATCCTTTAACTGGTGGCCTTGTACTTTATTAGAAGATTTCCAGCTACACGGTAATCTTATAAGGTTAAGGTTTACATAGTTATCCACTAGCAACTTTCCCATTTCAGGGTGTCACACCAGGACTAGAGACATGACACAGCAATTCCAGTCCTTGCTTTTGACATTGTTGGTTCCGGTTCTGAGAAAGGAGCCCAGCCCAAATGTCCTTTAATCTTGCTAATATCTGATTGGCCACTTAGCAACAAGATGGCTGTCCTAGTGCCATTTCAGTTGCCACAGCAAAATATCTTGATAATGAGCAACTTATGAGAGAAAAGGCTCATTTCTGGGGACGTCATGGTGGCAGGAGTTTGAAGCAGCTAGTCGGAGTGCAGCTACAGGCTAGAGCAGAGAGAAATAAATAGATTCACATATGCTTGCTTGCATGACTCTAATACAGCCCAGGACCCAAACCCACAGAATAGTACCAAATATAGCAGGCTGGGTCTTAATGGGAAAAAAAATCCCTCCTGGGCATGCGCATAGGCTAGCCTGATCTAGACAATCCCTCACAGAGTCAGCAAGGATTCAATTCCTTTCTAGGTACTTGACTTTGGGCAAAGACTGTCGCCTGTTTCTCAAGCTCTAAAATGAGTTAATAATAGAATCTGATAGGTTTTCTTGAGGATTTAATGAGGTAATGAATGTAATTATAATGGGTAGTGCAATGCCTGACCTGCAACAGATGCTTGGCAATCAGTAGCACTTACTAATAATGTTTTACTCAATCAGGAAAGGCAAATCTGAATCACCAGGTGTGTGTGTGTGTGTGTGTGTGTGTGTGTGTGTGTGTGTGTGTGTGCGCGCGTGTGTCTGGAGAGGTATGTATTCTGTTTTCTGCCCACCTTCCATGTACACTCTATCCAATTCTCCACGATTGAACAGGTAATAAGCAAAGGGTGGTAGGTTTTAATTCCCAGCCCTATTAAAACCAGCTTTCTAAACCAGTAGTGTGAAATTGCTGGTACTCATTAAACTCTGACAGTATGAATTATGTTTAGAAATAATGTGCATACATATAGTGGGCATTTTGTTGGTTTTTGCTGTTTTGAGGCAGGGTCTCAGTTTCTAGCCCAGGCTGGTCTGAAGTAATAACGTTTTTAAATTGAGTCATTTTCCTCGAGGCCACCCACATATTGGCATTTAGTGACAGCTCAGTGAAGGCAGAGCAAAGGTGATATAAGCGTTTTACACACAGAGTGCCAGGACACCAAGAACTGCCCTTCCTGTTCAATGGGCTTGTGTAGGAAGCATGTCCCTGGTGCTCGGAGTAGGTGGTGGAGTGCGAGGAGGTGAACTGCGAGGTTTATTTCCCTCCGGCTGCCTGTCATCCAGTTCTCCGCTTTTCTCTGACTTTCAGGAGTGATGAGGTCATCCCAGCGAGGAAAATCAAACTCCTGTTTTCCAGATTCAATGAAGGCCAGCATTGTTCAGTCTGCATAAACAGAGGCCAGACCCGTGGAGTCAGGAAGACAAGAAGCCCGCCCTCTAGCGGTCACACTGGGCAGCGCTCGTCACTCCCAGGAGCAACGACAGGAAGGCGGGAGCGTGAGGGCTAAAATGGAAGTTAAAATTAGATCAATAGTCAGCTTGGCTGTCTCAATCAATGCTTCGCAGGGAGAGCATTACAACCATCTATTTATAAGCTAAACCCGGCATTATCTTCCTCTTTTAGGACGGAGAGATCCATTACTGCACGCAGCGGGGGAGAGGATGCTTCGCAGAGCTGGATCCTGCCACTTTACAGCTCGCTGGCTCGCTAGATCTCACCAGCCTGGGACGGGACGTTGCTGAGCAGCAGGAGGACCCGCCCAGACTGCGGTTCTCTTTTCGGCTCAGGACTGTGCCCTTGCCTGTGTCCTAACCAATAACTCCTGCCACACCCGTAGAGCGATTGACTGCATCCTAGTCTTCTGGCGGTACCAAAAAGTGGACCGGGAGAGGGAAGGGGGGGAAATACATTAAAAATAACAGAACTCAAGGGTCCTCCTGCTGACACAGGGCGGACATCAGCTGGATTCTAACCACAGGCTTGACTGCCCTTTGACAAAGGTTTCCAAACTTGCTTCCTCACTGTCTTGAATTATTCAGTCTTTGCTCAGGCAATTATAGTTGTCAATAGCTGTGGTTCCCCTCCTTTCCCTCCCCCTCCTCCTTCTCCTCCTCTTCCTCCTCCTCCTCCTTCCCCCTCCCCCTCCTCCCCCTTCTCCTTCTCCTCTTCCCCCTCCTCCTCCTCCTTCCCCCTCCTCTTCCTCCCCCTCCTCCTCCTCCCCCCTCCCCCTCCTCCCCCTCCTCCTCCTCCTTCTCCTCCTCTTCCTCCTTCTCCTTCTCCTCCTCCTCCTCCATCAAAATACAAATAGGAATCGATTTGTGTAGCAGGCTTGTGTAGCTCTTGAGGTCTGGCTGAGGTGAATCTGTGCTCCATTAGCTCAGGCTGGCCCTTGGGAAGGCACCTCTGAAATACGAAACAGATCTTCAGGCAGCTATTGTGTTAATGTGGTTAAATTGCAGTCTTTGAAATATGCTACAGAAAAAGAGATAAAATTTGATCTAGCACCCCCACAATGCAAGATAAAATCATAGATTTTAAAGAAAATTCTTGCCTTAGAGATGTGCATAGCATATCCTACAGATTTACTTATTTTTGTTTTTCTGTCTCTGATAATTTTCTTTCACAAGCATGTACTATTTTTATGATAGAAAAACTTTAAGAATTTTAATACTAGTGTAAGTGTACATTAGATATATTTTTAGAATCGATCTATTAGCTGCTGTATCATTTGACATAAAAGGGTTTTGAACTAAAGATAGGAACTGTTGCATTCTTTATTTAGAAATAGTCTCTCTTCCTCTTCCACTTCTTGTTGGCATCCCTCCAAAACGTTCTGCATCTGTCCCTTTCTCACCATCTACACCATTCCTCTCTTAGGGACCAGTCACCATTCATTATCTTTCACCTGTATGCCCAAAATATCTTGTCTGTAATTCCTCCTTTCATCTTTCCCCAATGAGGCTCCTTACTGGCCACTGTAGCAACCAGATTGCTCTTTTAAAATGCAAATCAGATAGTTCCTCTTCTTTAAAGCCTACCTTGGCTTCTCACAGAGCCTTGGTTAGATCAAGTTATTTCCCACAGCCAGAATGTAGCCTGGCTTCTTCTCTTGCCTGGGTTTGGAATGACCTGGAGGGTGAATGACCCCTAGACATGTGTGTTTCCAGAGGTTTAACTGAAGTACTGAGATGGATCATAAATACAGATGATATTAATCCATTGGTTGGGGTCTCTGACCGAATCAAAAGGGGGGGGCAGGAGGCTGGAGAAATGGCTCAGCAGTTACCAGGGCTTCCTGTTCTTGTAGAGGATCCAGGTCCTTCCCAAGCCCATGTTGGGTGACTCACAACTTCCTGTAATTCCAGCCCCAGGGGTATCTCAACCTTCTGTAACTCCAGCTCCAGGGACATCTGATGCCTCTGGCACTTAAATTTAATGCACACACACACCCACACAAGACACACTCATGCACATAAATAATTAAACATTTTAAAAACTGACAAATGATAGACATAAATAAAAGCCCAAAGTTGTGTGTTTTTGGAGGGAAAAAGGATTGAGTACCAGCCTTCTCTCTTTTCTTCCTGAGGACACAAAGTGAATTCTCACCTCACACTCTATATGTCACACTTTCCCAGCCATAGTGGATGATATCCTTCACATGGTGATAAATTGGGGTGAATATTTCCTTAAGTTGCCTTTGCATCTGGTCACAGACACAGGAAAGTAACATATACATGTGTCATCTGGCTCCCGCCTGCCCTGTACCTCTCCGAGAATGTTGCGGTCCTGTGTCTGAATAGCACATTCTCATTATTTCTTTGTGGGACACAAACTTACCAGCTCCTTCTTCCTCTAGTCCCAGCATCCCCACCTCCTTCTACTCTCTGCAAATGATGTTGAGTTTCAGACAATCTCAAGTGTGCCTCATATCATTCTGGTCTCAGATTGCATATCAGGGCCCTCCTGCCCACTAAGACTTGTTAACCATGTTGCCTCGTTTTATTTTTACAACACTTTATTTTACATTTATTTAGTGCGCGCGTGTGTGTGTGTGTGTGTGTGTGTGTGTGTGTGTGTGTGTGTGTGTGTGTATTAGGTTCAAGGAGAACTTGTGGGAGTTTCTTTTTTCCTTCTACTCTATGGATTCTAGGGATTAAATTCAGGTCTCCATGGACAGTCACCTTTATAGGATGGGCCATGTTGTCAGTTCGGCTCTAGTTTATTTCAACACAGCAATGATCTACCAGTGGAATTCTAGTTTGCTTTCACATGCTAGAGTATAAGCCCCATGCATTCCCTGTTCACTGCCCTTTCTTTGGGTTCTAGGATAATGCCTGGCTCATAGTTGGTGTTCAACAGGTGTCTGTTAAATGAGTTATTGAATATGATTTCCTGGTAACTGGCTTATAAAAGCTGCTTGTAATATTCTGAGTATTCTGCTTGGAATTTTAAATTTATTTTTGTGCCCATATGCTTCCTCCTCTCAAGTGTGAACTCCACAAGGCGGGATCATATTTAGTTCATTTCATTTTCTACAGCCTTATGGAGTCTGACACATTACAGGTGTTTAATATATTTGTTGGATTAAAAATTGCAGTAAGTGAATGGATAATAAGTTGACTCAATGTGACCTTGTCCCAGGTCTGACCTTTCACCAGGGAAAATGAAATGAATATCGATGCCTAAAGGGATAGATCGTTACTTTGATCTCTCTCTCTCTCTCTCTCTCCTCTCTCTCTCTCTCTCCTCTCCCCCTTCTAATCCCTGCCCCCCCTCACACACACTTGAACACTTGTTCGTAGTATTTTCAAAGGATATTATCATATTTGTTATTTCATTTGATCTTCATACAAGCTGGTATGTAGGAACAGAAGCTAGAGGCATTAATTGACCTGCTCAAGCTTACACAGCTAAAATGAAGCAGCAGGGCCTATAGCTTGCTAATCTCAAATACTTTCACACCAGCATTTGCCAATATCGTCCCTCCTCAACCACATTTCTGGTTCAAATATTCCAATGGGGTCTAACAAGTGCTGGGCTCCCAATAAATGTCTTTTCTTCCCTCTTAGTCACACAACTGCTCTACCAACTCCCCACTCCCATGAAGAAAGCTTCTGTATTGGCGTCATTCTTTTCCCTGCTAGACTAATCTTTCAGATCCTCCTTATGGTATGATTTTTAGTGTATCATATTAATTAGATATTTTCACAGATCTGAGCCATATTCAGTGGATTTTTGTTCGCTGACAACTGATTGCTCTTTTAATCTTTACTCTGAACATACACCAATGGTTATGTTATGTTCAACATCTGCTGGTGAAAACCCACTAACTCATAGCTCAGAATGTCAACCAGCGCAGTGCCATTGAGGAGACGGCATGCATGGTGCCAGATTGGGTCAGTTTTAACAAAGCTACAATCACAGAACAACGGGAGAGGACAAGTGATGAACAAAATTAGTTTTGCTATAGACCAAACAAATTAGACGCCTATTTGAATCATTCATTCGCTTGTGCATTTACCCATTACATGCATTTTACATTCCAAGCATTGTACTAAGTTTAGGAATACAGAGGCAAGCAAAAATAGACTGAATATCTACTGATTTGGCTCTAGTAGAAAACATCGACTTGAAACAAAGGATCACCCAGCAGGCTTCCATGTGATGAGAGGGTGAAATAAGAGATTGGTATAGTTCAGAAACTTCCAAGGTGACTTTCTTGAGGAAGTGATGACTAAGTTACAGTATATATTGTATTCCAACACGGGTCAATACTCTATGATCAGTAAAAATGGAGAAAGGAAAGAGAATGATGGAATAAATAAATATTCATAATGAACAACTTTCAAATAAAGTTTTGAGTGTTTAATACATGTTTTGGTAGTTGTCTAGATGATGAGCCTTATAACAGTGGTCAAAAGTTTAAAAATCACCACTTTATGAACTTAGATTGGGGTGGGAGAAGGTATATAAAAATGTACACAAAATTAAAATAGCAAAGAATGTTCAATTGTTATTTTTGTTATGGAGGAAAATAAGATGAGGAAGTGAGACGAGAAATGAGCTTTGGTGGGCTAGTGAGACCCTAGAGGGGAGTGAATGTCCCCGTGAATAACACAGCAGGCCCCAAGTGGTACAGGAGCAAGGGCTGGGAGTGGGTGGTTAAAGAGGAAAGAGCTCTCGGGAAGGTGACTTCTACAAGGGCAATGACTCTGTGACTGCCATGCCCTACCTGGCAGTGTACTTGAGGAAGTGAGTAACCTGTGTGTCTAGTACGAGTACGCAAGAAAGTCACAACCAGGCTATGAGACCAAGGACCTGATGAATCTGGGCCATACTACAGATGATACTAAAGAAAACTTGGATTTTCCTTTAGGAAGAATGGGAAATCATCAGAGGCCTCAGAATGAATGGCTGGCATCATCTCACTGGAAATGTGTGGGAGAGTACTCACTCTATTCCAGGAATTAGCCTAAGTGTTTCCACCGGTGGCTTCCTAGCACAATTCTAGCATTTTAAAGAGGAGAAAAGGAAGGCACAGGGAATTTAAAGAGCTTACTCAAGGTTGCAGATTCACAACGGACAGAGTTGAAATTGAAAACTAATGTCACTCTACCACCTAAGTTGCTGCTACAATGGGAGAGTGGCTCCTGGGGGAGCCTGGGTGATCCTGGCGAGTGTTAATAATAACCATCATTTATTGTGGGCTCACCAGCCATTGCCATATGTTTTTCTTTCAGTCTGTTTTGTTCTCACACTATCAGAGAAGTAGAAGGTACTTCTTCACCAAAGCACGTACCTTATCGCTTTCTAGATAATGATGCCATCTCAAAATAGATGCCTCATAAATAACCTCGAAATGATTAAAAATGGATCATGTTACATTTGTTCTCTTCCTTCTCTTCTTCCTCCTCCTCCCTCTCCACAACGCCCCTCTCTTTCTCAATAATGTCTTACGTAGCCCAGGCTGACCTCAACCTCACTGTTTGCCTCAGGATATCTCTGAAGCCTGATCCTCCTGCGTCTTCCTCCCATGGGCTCCAGCAGAAAGATTGTGAATTAGAGACCAGCTTGGGTTACATAGTGACATCCTGTCTCAAAACACGGTGAAACTTGTTCTTGTCTTTTCTCTGAGTTAAACATTTCACAAACCACTAGGCTCTTTCGGTGAGTTCTTGATGTTAGACTTTGTGTGTTTCAAGCACAGTATGATTTTTACACACTTGCATTCTTGGTTGAAATTCTTAATCTTTGAGCCCCTTAGTTCCCCCTTTTTTTCTTTAAAATGATAATCATAATTATTTTAAAGTGTTTTTCTCTTAGTTCATGTATTTGGGGTATAAGCGTGCCTATTTATACTGAGGTATGTGTGTGGGTGTGTGTGTGATTGTGTGTGTGTGTTTTGTTGTGTGTACATGCATGTGATTGATTGTGTATGATGTGCATAGAGACTGAGGATGAGGTCAGTTATCGTCCTCTATCATTCTCCACCTTAGTTTTGGAGACAGGGTCTCTCACTGAACCACATCTTCACCATTTTGAGTGGACTGGCTCACCAGTGAGCTCCTGAGTTCCAGTCCACAACACTGAGGTTAGAGGAATGCAGCCATGTCGGACAGCCCCATGACCGTTGGGATTTGAATGCATGTTTTCTCACTTTAACAGCAAGTACATATGCCCACTGAGACACTTCCTTAGCCTCTATTGTTTGATTTTTGTTTATCACTTTAAAAACTCAGTTTTAATGAGTATGAGTGTTTTACCTGCATATATGTCTGTGAACCAAGTGTGTGCCTGGTGCTCACCAGAAGGGGGCAAAAGATCCCTTGGAACTGGAGTCACAGATGTTTGTGAGCCTCCGTATGGGTGCTGGGAATTGAGTTGGGGTCCTCCTGGAAAGCCAGCAAGTGCTGTATTGTCTGATTTAAACTCTTGATTATGGACTACACCTTCAGTTCTCATTTCATGCCAATGGAGCCAATGGATCTGAGTTGGGTTGCCAGAATTGGGTATGAAAACCAAGGCAAATGGCCTAACCAACAGGACAACCCCAGAACATTCACATGAAATCTCATTAGCAAGACTTTTCCTTCCCACTAGAGTCCAGACAGGCAGAGGTTATGCTCTGTCTGAGATTGGTTTAAAGTTTGGGGCAAGACTGCCTATAGCCCTTGAGCTAATTCTAGTTTTGCTGAGGTCACATTGGGGCCTTTAATGAGAAATCTAGTAGGACCATATCTCTTTGACTCTCAAAGTTACACTCTTTGGGTGTTTCAAGTTTCTGTACCATGAAGGTCTACTTCACAATGGCTCATAGTCTGGTATATGGCTCAAGGAGAAATGTTTTACATTTGTATTTCCAACTCATATTTCTGATGGGAATTCATTTTTAAGCACTACAGACTATGGGAGATTTAATTTTGTCTTTCTGGTTCAGCCTAGCTAAGCCTTCTTCCACACCAAACACAGGGAGAGAGCAGCGTATTTTCTAGTTCATCATGTCACTCCTTTGCCCTGACCACAACTTTTTCTGGCCTCTCATCCATTCATTTAAGTCCTTCTGCTTGGCCTGAATCTAGTCTTTGGTCTCTACCCCAAATAAGCAACTGCACCCTGCAAAGCAACTAGTTGATGCTTCCAGCCTTCTGATTTGAGTTTAGGTCTTTTGTCATGATGTTTTCAACTTGCTACTTTTTCCTTCTCTTTTGCTGTAACGTATATGTTAGCAGGCTATGTCCACCTACACTTTAGCTAGGATTGAAAGTCCCTGTTGGCTGTATTATAAGGATCAGACATTTTTTACAGCTCAAACAAATTTTGGCATTCCCCAAAAGCACATATACTTTCTTGGGCAAGCAGGCAAATAGAGCTTTGAAAGAATGAAATATTCAAGGCTCAAAACTAATAAGCCTAGAAACTGAGATCAATTGTGAGGTCCCACTTTTCAAGAGGACAAAATGAAGAGTAAGGAACAGAAAGATAGAGAATGTAGTATGGCAGGAACTCTCCCATGCAGGAGGTAGGGAGAAATTCTGGAGTCCTGGCTGTGGCAGTCCAGGGGGCCTGCCTTTGGAGATTCCTCTGGAAAAAGTAGATTGAGTTCTGAGTCAGCATCAAACATCTGCCTGCCCCCACCTTGTTTGAAAACAGGATTTAGAAGACATTGGCATTAACAAGACCTAGTGTGGAGACAGTTACAGGTTAGGTATACAGGGTGGTGGTGTGGAAGGTAGGAAGGCTATAGAAGTAGAAGACTATGACCCTGGGCAGGGGAATATTTATAGCTGATGGGGTTTCAGTACTAGGAGAATTGTAGGCTTATGAATTACAGAGTAACTGAAACAAGAGCTGGGCCCTTGTTCTTTGAAAACAGAAAAGTGAATGCTTTTATTCCCTTTTATTCCTTTTTATATGGAGTTTGTCAATGTCTAGTCTTCCTGCCCATGATTATGAAACTAGTCCAGAAGGCAAAAGTACAAGATTCCAGATGAACAGAGAGACCCATTCCTTTCTGTGAATCCTCTGGACCTTCCCACCCTGTTACTGGGGACAACCTTCGCCTCTCAGGAGAGGTAGGAAAACAAATCAGATTTGTAGGAAATGAAAATCAAAAGAAGATTCAATACACAAAAAGTATTTTTATGTCTAATCTTTTATGTGACAGATTTCTTTAAGATTTGTGATATTCTATGCTTTTCTGTTCTTGATTGAAATTTGATGTCTCTGCTCAAGCCAAGAGGAGGGGTTGCTAAGCAATTAAACATCATAAACAAGTGAGAGCAGTGATTAGAACCAATGGGAAGCAGTCTGTCCTTATATTCTCAGGAGAACAAACCATATTTAAGGGTATTATTACATTATTGTCTACATACAAAAGTACTGCTATTTGTAAATGAATTCCCCCTCTCTCTTTACATAATTCTTTATTGATGCTTTGGAAATTTCACATCATACACCCAAATCCTGCTCACCTCTCAGTCCCTCCAAATGTGCCCCATATCCCTGCAGTATGCCCCCCAAAGTTGATTAAAAACAAAGCAAAAAAAAAAAAAACCGACCTCACTCCTTCATCTTTCCAACACTTCTTCATTTATCCTAGTGGCATCTGGATCTTCAGTGTGTCACTCAGTAGACTTCTTTTGCCCAATCATCACCACCCACAAAATGCTCACTGCAATGGGTCTCTGGTACACTATCATCACTAAACTCTCACTGAAACCCCTTGGATATCCTGCCCAAAGTTATGGAGATCCCACTGTTATTATTCCGCAGGACAAGTCCGTTTGCACACTCCAGCAGGTCATAGATTGGGCAGATGTCGGGGTAGGCCAATGCAAGGGCCAGATTGTGGGTCTGGGTAGTAGCTGAACTGGTTGGTCTGGGCCACTGGGACTCCCCCCTCAGGTGAGAGCAGAGTCAGCTCTCCTAGGCCCACACCATGGGGCCAGTTCTCCCCCAAGTTTCTGGTGATAGATGGAACCATCTATCCTGAGTATGGAGATGAGCTCTTCCATGGGGGTTGAGGCCAGCTATACCGTAGCCAGTGGGGGGCAGAGCTGGCTCAAAACAGCCCTCTGATTTCAACATGCATGGTTCCTATGACCCCCCCCCCCCCCGTGAAAACAGGTGTCATGGACATCATCTCAGACCCTGGTTGTTAGGTCATGGACCCAGACATAGCCCACAACAATAGTCCAGGCCCAGATAACACCATGGCCCCATGTGACTGTGCAGGACACTCAGACTGGCATGGCCCTCAGACACCAATATAGCCACAGATTTTGGCCCAGACCCCAGGTATCCGTGTGGCCTTTGGTGGTACCATGGCCCATGGACAATAACACAGACCCTGTCTGTCATAGGACCATGGACCCAGATACGGTTCTCATTAGCAACCTAGGCCTGGATGTCACCTTGACCCCAGGTGGCAGTGTAGGCCACTCAGATCTGCATTTCTCTCCCCTCCCCCATGGCAATGAGGCCCTCAGACACTAACATGGCCCCAGATGGCAGCCTAGAACCCTGGTATCCATTGCCTCAAATGGTATCAGGATCCAGAAACATCAGCACAAACCCTGACTGCAGTAGGGACACAGATCCAGACCTGGCCCTCAGCAGCAGCCCTGATCCAGATGACACCATGGTCCCAGGTGGCAGCAGGGCCACTCATGGCATGGCCCTGGCAGGGACATGGCCACCGGACACCAACATGGCCTCAGGATGCTGCCTAGACCCTAGGCATCTGTGTGGCCTTTGGCGGGAATTGTCTCTTTTTGAGAGAGGATGTCTACTGGCCATCCTTTCAGCAATTCCAGTGACTAAAATGTCCCCATTTCCTTAAAATTATCCACTATTGATGATATCTCAGACAGTGCTACGATCCAGGCACACACCTAAGAGCAAGGGACACGTCACATAAGCTATTGCGTTTGATCTTTGTAATAGTGTTAAGAGGTAACAGTATATGGTATTTGTCTTTTTTTAGCAAGCCAGGAAATGGACACTTACCAAGTTTGAATAACTTGTCAAGGATGATGCAAGGGTAGAGTCCTGTTAGATCCATGTATCAATTCATTCAAGCATTCTAGAATGTTCCTTCAGTTGCTTCAAAGTGTCACAAATGTTTCTGTTTTTGTGATGGTCAACCCAGTGGGTTGGTTTGTAACCAAGACTTCTCTTTCTTTTTTCTTAGTCAAGACACCATGGTGACCAGTCTCTTATTTCAGTCATCGGTGGTTAAACTTCATTTCATGAAGTTTGAAAAACTGCAGTTTGGGGAGCAAGACTGATCTGGTATATTGTCAATAGCAGCCCCTTTGTTGGTTTCCAGTACACCACCTTTGTAATTGCATAGCCAGAGACAATTATCTTTGGTAGTTTTCATTGTAAAATTGGAGTAATATTAGCAAACCTTGCAATGTTGTTTGGGAATGAGAGATACTGTATGAAAAGTGTATCATGTAATGCAGACACCTGGCAGTATTTGTCACATATGAATTCCCTTCTGTTTCCTTTCCTATCTTCAATGCATGGGATGCCGTATCTGCCTTCAAAGTAGGCAATGTGTCTAAGGGAATTCTGAGTGCCTTGGTTTGACCTGCACATTCCATGTAACTTTGGATGACCAACATTAGCACACTAACAGTTTTCCTATTTGATATAACGATGTTCTGATTTTCATGTTATCTCCCATCCCTAACAAAGAAAACACACCGAAGAAATTAAGAGTTCCAGTTCTGTCCATTCATTTGGAGTCATCTGGAATTAAAAGTGCTGTTCTGGAATGGGTCACTTTTCTGTGGGGATGAATTTGTCTTCTTTGGCAAACTCAAGCCACTGGCCTCCAGGTGGAGCTGCATGAGAGAAAGAGAGAAGGGAGAGTGAGGGGAAAAAAATAGGTTGCTGCCCCCAGAGAAGCAGCCAGGGAAAGATACAATGAAAAAAAAATGGTCCATGATCCTAGGGGATTTGCCCGGAAGAGAAGTGCCGTGTGAACTCATTCAGCCAGTTTAATTCCACAGGAATCTGAAGAGACTACAAATGTGTTCTGCCAGCCCAGGGTAGGATGCAAAAGAAATGAGACACGGTCCCCAAGGATCTGACAGTCTGGGAGTTGCTGCTCACTGACACGGGGAAGAGCCGCAGAAGACTATGTCACTCAGAGATGGAGCTGAGATGCAGGCAGAGACATGGTTTCTAAAGTCAGAGTGAGGCTATTACTTCATGTGTGCTCCCATATCCCAGGCACTGAACTAGAGGAGTTCAAGAAATGATCTCATTCCATTTAAGCCTAAAAACAAACCTTTGACATGAGCCTATTTTGATGGTAAGGAAATTGAAGCATGAAGATGAAATACTCTGCCAGTGATCCAACAGCAAGGGAGCATCCTGATTTCAGGCTGCAAGTGACTGAATGCAACTCTAATTTTCTGAAGATGCACAGCCTCTTGCTAGCTGCATGACTCAGCCCTTCTAAGTGCACCTCAGCCTCCCTACGTGACAAATGGACATTATGTATGGGGGCAAACTACATTGTTTGGGTTGACTCTTTACTTCACCTTCTATCAAGCCATCCGACCCTCACTTTTGACCCCTGTCGACTGGGCACTTCTGGTATCTAATCACATGACTCTATACTGAAATGGAGGATGCTCAGAGCAGGGTGGGCAGGTGACCCAAGGGAGGGAGGAGTGGTAGCAGAGAGGAAGAGATCCACTGAAGTGTCAGCTTTGTTTATCCCAGTGAACCAGTATTATAACCTTACAGTAACCCCTCACCCTATTCTGCCATGTTTTCTTGGGCTAAATTGAGTTTCTGTTACCTGTGACCAACAAATCCCCAAATACAACAAATGTGTTCCCCATTTTGAGGAATCGGGGAGATAAGGTAAATTACAAAGGGCAAGGTTGATGAGACCATAGCTGTTTTATCTCAGTGAGTAAAATAGCAATTTGGTTTTTATAATTGGGTTCCAAGGTTTTCAGTTCATGGAATGTTTCATTATATCCAAAGGAAGGCATGCATAAATTTTCCTTCGCCGTGTCCTGCCAGGAATAATCAACATGGTTGATGGTCATGTCAAAATCAAGTCTTAAAGCCAACAGGTTCTCTGCATTTGGGGCAAGTCAAGTGGCTCCAAGTCTGGTCATCTGGTAACCACTTTAAATTGGGTTTTCACTGGAGCCAGACAGTACCTTTCAAAATCTTCTCTAGGGACTCAGATAGTCTGGCTGAGTGACAGACACTCTGGCTGAGTGACGGCTGGCTGACCATGCTGCTATCTCTTCCCCTGTGATAATGGCTCTGAGTGAGTTTTGACTGAGGATACTTCCTATTTGATTTGGTTCACTTGCATTGCTGCTCTGTGTCACTCAAGATCACCAAAGCAACCGCACAAGCATACAAACATGGTGGGAGGGAATTTGTGCTTCTCTTGAATGGAAATGCAATTGGACTTGACACAAGGTTATTTAGTGTCACAGATGCTCTTTAAAATGCTCTTTGGAAGTTACATTTATTTGTGTGTTTGGGAGTTGGGGCTGTAGCACTGTATGTGTGTAGAGGTCAGACAACAACTTGCTCATTTGGGTCCTGGGGAATTGAACTCAGGTCTTCATGCTTGGCAGTACGTGCTTTTACCCCCCACTGCGCCATCTCCCTGGCCCTTATTGTGGGTACGTTGTCTCTGGGTTGATGATTGCGTCCTGAGTTTATGGAGAAGGCTTGGAACAACACACTTTCTGCTGGTGTTTTATCTGTCATCTAATAGGATGTATATTGTTTTATTTATCATGAACCTCGGGGTGCCAACTCTCTCTTTGTCTCTTAATCATCTCAGCATCGCTAGGATGAAGATGGAGGCATTTTAACCTGGCTGTGTTACTGGACCCGGTTCACATTTTCCTGGGGACTGCATTGCATCTTGCGTTCTCCGCTGCACTCAGCAGTGGCAGCACAATTACTTCTGTAAGTGAGGGTTTCCTTGCCTGTGCTCTATTACTTAATGTAGATCATGTAAACTACCCATCAGAGGGGATCCTGACTGACGATGCAGAAGGAAAGTGAGTCTCCTCCTTCTTTCCTCTGCTCTTACTTCCTGTCACTTCACCTTTTAGGACCAATTATGATTATTTTTTGAAGTGTCTTTGGGGGGCATTCTTAGGGATCTGTTCTCTAACACATTGTACACCAATGCGTACCTCTGTAGGGAGAATTTCAGAAGGTCTGGGGGCATGGATCAAATGCCATAGAGACACGACGGTGGCCTTTAAGCCAAGTGATTTCTCGGATGAAAATGCTGACTCTGGCTTTGCGTTTTGTGCCCTGCAATTACCGGAGGCATCAGAAAACCTTCTAACATCGTCTCATACTGCAGATTCTACTAGAGATATCAGATAAAAGTCTTTTAGAAGAGCTTTCTGCATTGTATGTGGGGTTGGGAACACCTTTTTGCTTGCCTGTTCTGTGAGCTAGAATCTTGGTGGCAAAGATCAGGTTGTGGGACTCGGTGGTTAAGATGACCTATGTTTAATTCCCAGCACCCAGTGTTGCAAAAGACTTGCATTCAATTCCCAGCACCTGTAGGGCAGTTCACAACCATCTGTAACTCCAGTTCCAGGGGACCTGACATCATTTAGTGGCTTCTGCAGGCACCAGGAACACACTCGATGTAGAGACACACATGCATAAAAACATTGATATGATAAAATGTATTAGAGAAATAATCAGCTTTACCTGGTCAGTTACAGACATATGACTTGGATGGGTTAATCTAGTACTTGATAAATAAGTGTCTACCACAATAGTGAATGAAGTTACTTCAAATAGAAAACAACGACAGGCATTTGCTCTACCTCCTATTACCCTTTGAGGTCACACAAAAAAAAAAAAAACACCGTCAGATTTATTAAGCTTTCACTATATACAAATAATATTTCCAGCTTCATCTAATACTGTTATGGTTTGGATGTGAAAAGATGTTTTATACATTCACATGTGCAAACACAGCCTGGCTGGTGGCCCTGTTGTAGAGGTTGTAGAGTCCTTAGACCATGGACTAGCTGGAAGAACGAGGTTGCTGGGGACAGGGCTATGAAGGGGATATGTGCTGGTCCCAGTTGGGCCTCTGCTTTCTGATTCTCTACGATGCTAACAAGCCATACCACCAGGTGCTTTACGACAGAACTGCAGAAGGAGAAGGAAGTTACAGCCACCCTTCTTGTTACAGTGGGTGGTAACCTCTGAACTATGATTCAAAATAAAGCCTTTACTTTATGTCTGTTGGGTATTTAGGCACAGCAGTGAGAACACACTGATACAGACACAGACCTAGCTACCTCAACTGACAGAAGATGTGCCTGTAAGTTTTTGACAGATTTTACATATAAGGAAACTGAGGCTCTCAGGGAGATTAGGGAATTCTGCCAAGGTCACATTGCTGGCAACTGGTGAAGACGGGATTCAAACTCAGTGGTCTCATTTCAAATCCACACAATAAACTTCAACCTCAGCATGGATGGTGTGGACTGCAAGGAACACATGATGGATGTGGTAGTGTGAAACCTGAGTTCCCTCTGTGATTAGAGGGATAATTGCGGCTTCCATGGGGCTGGAACTTCTCTGTGTCAGATCTGTTGCCCCTTACTGTGGATGTCACACTGTTTTTGCCAAGGGCAGCCTATGCCAGAACGATGGATGCTTGTGCACCCTGCTTGCTATGTGGGGATTATGCTGTACCACCGTTCATGAAATTTCTCTTGTTTCTCTTTAAATGCAGCCCTTTTCTGTTGATTTCTATGGTGACTGGCTCCCCCAACACATTCTGCAAAATACCTGCTTCTAATTGCCAAGAAATGCCTCTCTCTGGGTTTGTTTACATGACACTTCGACTCTGTCTGCTTAGAACTCTGCCCTGTGTGCCCTGTGTGCGTTTCTCTCCTCTATTAGTATTCTCCGCTATGTTATGGCTGTGAAAAGAGCCATATTTCCCTGCCTTTGCTAGAAAGAAACATTTTAATATTGGGATCGCAGCTTGAATGTGAAAGTCCTGTGGGTACCTCTATGATATAATTAAATCTCCCCTGTAATGGTAGCTCTATAATATTCTGATTTGGTCTAAGACTCCTATACCCCATATTAAGTGTGCAACCCAGGAAATAAGAGTCTGACCTCTCACATGGTGACAGAGTGACAGAGAGGAATGAACATGAATCAAACAGACCTCAATGTGCATCCCAATTCCAACATGTGCTCTGTGTGTGTGTGTGTGTGTGTGTGTGTGTGTGTGTGTGTGCAATTCTTCTGCTTTCCTGGTCTATAAAACATAATAATATAATACCTCATAGAACTCTTCGTGTGTGGTGTATGCTTACTTGTTTATGTGAGTGTGTGGATTATGCATACACGTGCACATGCATATGTGTACATATGGAGGTCAGGGGGCAATCAGGTGTGTACCAGGACTTTCCTTTTATAACAGGTGCTTTACCAGTTGAGTCATCTTCCCATCACCCATAGAGCTTAAAATAAACATAATTATTCATTTATTTGGAAAAGGAAGCAAGTGTTACAATGTGTGCAATGAGCTCCTAAATCATGACATGGAGACTTAATATTAGTTATGAATGCTCGGTCTTAGAGTTATTTCTTGCTAGCTCTTTTAACTTAATTAACCTGTCTCTCTTTAGCTACCTTGGGGCTCCTTTCTTTCCTTCTGTATATCTAACTTTCACTGCTTCTAGTGTCTGTTTGTCTGGCAGTTACCTGGTTGTCCCCGTGTATGTCCCTCTCTTTCTCCTCATTCTCTTCTCTCTCCTTTCTCTTTTGTTCTCTTCCCTTTTCAGACTCCTCCTCC